GTGGGTGGGTGGGTGGGTGGGTCGGTCGGTCCGTCGGTCGGTCGAGGTAGGTAGGTAGGTAGGTAGGTAGGTAGGTAGGTAGGTAGGCAGGCAGGCAGGCAGGCAGGCAGGCAGGCAGGTAGGTAGGTAGGTAAGTCGGTAGGTAGGAAGGTAGGTAGGTAGGTAGGTAGGTAGGTAGGTAGGTAGGTAGGTAGGGAGGTGGGTAGGTAGGTAAGCAGGTAGGTAGGTAGGTAGGCAGGCAGGTAGGCAGGTAGCTAGGTAGGTAGGTAGGTATGCTAGAGTGACACAGAGCGAGAGAGACAGAGAGAGAGAGAGGGAGAGAGATAGACAGTAATCAAGCTCCCCTGTTCTGAGCTCTGATTATTCAGGCCTCTCGACTAGTCTGAGTGCGGAGGGTTCTGACGCCCTATACCTATAGTCTCCATTGTAGCTATTTTATTGTTTCTGCCCGTGTTTTTTGTTTTGGATCCTATAAGGTAACCCAAGAAAGGACCTAGATGGAAACTACAGGTGCCATGGACCCCTAAACCCTAAACCCCTCAACCCTATAGAATCCTAAAGCCTAAACCGTTAAATCTTAATCTCCTAAACCCTGTAGAACCCTACAAGCCACAAAGAAGCTAAGTCGATGGGGAGCAGGGAGCCCTGAAGCATGGGAAGGGAAGAGGAGGGCTTTGGGGTTCGGGGTAACTTAGGGGGTTGGGAAGTTCAGGGTTTATAGGGCTTAGGATTTTGGGTTCAGGGTTTAGGGTTTACGAAGTTTAGGGCTCAGGGTTTCGGGTTTAGGCAGTTCAGGGTTTAGGGTTTGGGGCTTCGGGTATATTATAGGGTTTAGGGTTAGTCAGGGAGATCGAGAGAGTGGCATGGTGAGACAGATAGACTCTTCGTGGGAACGTAGCATTGAAGGTGAGAAATCTCGCGGGGGCTTCCATGCCTACATATGTCAACATACACTGCAATCGATGGCAACTCCCGTTGCCCCGCGAAGCCAGCAGACCCCAAACTGGCCGCTCTCAAAGCAAATGGCCGCACGCCAACACTCTCAAGGTCGCAACAACCCGGTCGACGGCTGCGAGCACACGGCGGCGCATCAATCGGTTGTACAAGGTGCTGCGGAGTCTGCTCCCATACGTTTGCCTCGATATTCTGGTTCCGTAGATGTAGATCCTTTGGTGGTGGAGGGTTCACGTCCTGTGAAGCCACGGGCCTCACGGGTTAACTGAGGGCCTTAAGTTTGTCTTCGACATCTGGTTGTTCTTGTACGGTCTGGAGTATTCTGCAGTCCGGTGCGAAGTTCCCCTACACCCAAAACCCTAACCCTAAACCCAAAACCCTAAACCCAAACCCTAAACCCAAAACCCAAAACCCAAAACCCTAAACTACGGCGCTTTCGAAGAGACCGCTCCTCTGGGAGGAAAAGGAGAGCGCACCAGAGACGACCAACAGCGAGGAGGACCAGAGAAGGGAGCCTAAAGTCCTAAACCCTATGATCCAAGGTTAGAGGTATGGGCCCCTAATATGGACCCTTAGGCCTTTCTCGTGACCTTTAAGGCTATATAGGGTATATAGTAGGCATCATTGCTAGGGCCCATGGGCCCATGGTATCAAACTTAGATATGATTTCAACAAAGTACTTACCTGTGGCCCGAAAAACCTACCTTTGCAAGGACTTATATATAGAAACCATAACAGGGAATCCTAAAGAGGTAGGTTCTTTCGGCTACAGGTAGAACAAGCAAAGGGTGTTCAGTTCTTGTGTTGTTTTAAAAGTTGGTTTGAAATATGAGGATTCGGAGTTTCGAACCTTATGCCAGTCGCTGCAGTATCGTCTTTGTAATGCCGGAGCATCTTGGATTGCAGTTTGGTTTGCTAGTACATGCTTGTTGTGACCAGTATTGTCAACTTGTGTTGCGGTGATGCTGAAGGTTCTGTGTGTACTACCCCTAAACCCTGAACCCCAAACCCCCAGCCCTAAACCCCAAACCGTTATCGTCTTCCTTTCAGGATTCAGTGAAGACGGTTGAGGGACTGACAAAGAGCCGACCTTGAAGATTCAGAAGCCCTACCCCAAGGGTCTAAAGGACCCAATAATCAGGTACTTAGGTTTGGGATAGTAGTTATGTAGGTTACTGTTCGGGAGAGTATATGATTATTAGGTACCTTGGACCCTTAGGGCTATATAAACCCTAAACCCTAAACCCCTAAACCCTAAACCCCGAAACCCTAAACCCCGAAACCCGAAACCCCGAAACCCTAAACCCTAAACCCCTAAACCCTAACCCGAAACCCTAAACCCCGAAACCCTAAACCCTGTGGCGTTCAGGGTACAGATGTCGTTTGACTGCCCGGCACTTTGCGCGGCATGGCAAGGGGGGCTCTGTCGTGCTTTAAGGTTTAGGGTTTAGGGTGTAGGGTTTAGGGGTTTAGGGTTTAGGGTTTTAGGGATTCTGGCGCATGAGGTGTCACCTCGTGAGGAGCACGGCTGCAACAGACGCGAACATGGGGAACTCCTTGCCAAATTGTGAGGTCTCAAGCCACACCTGCTCGGGAGAACACTATTTTTGACATCTCTTGCTGGAGCTTGTAGCACTACAATTTCTTAGGTTCGCGCATTTGTCGTATAGTTTAGGATGCTATTTGCCCTGAGCAAAGCGCATGCTATCGACTGGGCAACATTCTTCTGATGGTTCTGGCGCCCGAACTCGGTTATTTCTCGATTCTTATAAGTGTTAGGGTTAACCTGTAGCCCCAAACCCTACCCTGAGGGTCCAAGTACCTAGTAATCATACACTCTCCCAAAATAGCATTTTACATAACTACGATCCGAAACCCAAGTAATTACCCGATTATTGGGTCCTTTGGACCCTTGGGGCTCCAACCATCGCAGGTGTTGACTCCTCATGTTTCAAGCTCTAAGCCCTTTAAAGTGTGGGGTTTTGGGGATCGAATCCCCAGGCCGGGCTTAGGCATCTTTGGGCTTAAGGCATCTTCGAGGGTTGGACTCTTTTCCGGTTCCGAGTTTACCTAAAGGGTCATAGCCTACCCCTTTTTGTAAGGTACCTAGCTTTATGGTTAGGGTCTGTTATATAAAAAGTAAGTAGGTACCCTAAAAAAGGGGTAGGGGACGATCCTATAGGAAGAGTTTTGGGTTCAGGGTTGAGGGGTTGAGGCTGCTGTTGTTGAAGGCCTTTGCATTGCGCCGTTCCTCAGTTCGTTGCATGAGGGTGGTTTTTGTTTACCTTGGGGACCACATCACCCTTATAAGCAGAGGCCCTGTACCCTTATACTATGAGTCCCTATATGGTATATGAACCTCAAAACCTTTTGGGGTTCATTTCGTCCTAAGGTAAGCATAGATCATTCAATCATTACTTAAACCCCCAAACGTAGGTAAAGTAATGGCCCAACACCTATAAAAGGCCATGATTCTACATACTCTTGGTGTGCAGGTATCCGCTAGACTGCCCAATGCCCTCAGACCGCTAGAGTTGCATCACCAACCCAAAACTCCAAATCTCGAAAAAAGTCCATGATGCCAACCACTGTGAGCCTACTATAGGGGCCAAAATAATTACAACCCATAATCCTTAGGCTCCTTATCAATTATAAGTCCCTAAACCCTAAACCCTAAACCCTAAACCCTAAACCCTAAACCCAAATTATAAGTATACTATAAAGGAGCCCCAAACCCTTTTTCTGAGTTGTAAAGGCTTCTACTTTACATGTGAAACCGTGGGGAAAGAACCTAGGCTTTAGGGTTTAGGGTTTAGGGTTTAGGTAAACAGTAGAGCTACCTGTAAAGACAGCCGTGTATGACACCTTAGCCCCAAACCCTTGACAGAGTGAACCTCAACACTTCCAGGCCTTAGAAACCCTAAGCTCTAAAACCCTACACCCTAACCCTAAGGGTCCAGAGGACCCAATGATCAGATACTCAGGTTTCGGATAGTAGTTATGTAGGCTACTAGTTGGGAGATTGTATGATTATTAAGTACTTGAACCCTTAGGGTACACCCTAAACTTTAAACCCTAAGCCCTAAACTAAAACACCCTACATGCCTTAAGCACTGCACCGTCCTTCCAGTCTGGACCCTATACGATCCCTGAACCCAACGCCCAGAACTCCGAAACCACCCCAATAGCCCCTAGACCCCAAGACATATGAAACCCAAACGCCAAACCCCCAAACCCTACATCCCCAGCCCTAAGGCAGCGCTACTACACCACAAAAGCGTAAACGCCCTATACCCTAAGCCCTAAAACCCTAAAAAGCCCTATGCCCTAAAACCCTAAAAGGCCCTAAAACCCTAAAACCCTAAAGCACTAAACCCTAAAACCCGAAACAAAAACCCTAAAACCCTAAAGCCCCGAACCCCAAACCCTAAAACACTAAACCCTGAAACCCCTAAACCCTAAGATCCCTAGGGTTCCATTGTAACCATTAGCTAAAACTCTAAAGCCCCGAACCCTAAAACCCTAAAAAAACCCTAAAACCTAAGATCCCTAGGGCTCCGTGACAAACAAAAACCCTCAAACTCTAAAGCCTAAAGCCTAAACCCTAAACCCTAAACCCTAAACTCTAAAGCCCCAAAGCCCCAAGCGCCACGAAGTTCAGGAGAACTCTTCGGACCTGGAGGGCTGGGTGGAGGCACGGTTT